AAAGGAGTCAGCACAGGGGTAAGTAAACCTGCACCAGGTAACGATTTTTTCATCTAAAAACGAAACATAGAAGTCATCGTGTGTAAAATAAGAGGTGTAAGCATCTAGCTGATATCGTGTTTGAACAGGTGACGCGTTTACGTGAAAACGAACCTAAAACAAACTGAAAACACATTCAGTTGATGCTTCATACTTAGTAAAAGTTAATTTGTGAGCTCTGAACAAGTATTTATTTTTGAAGATTCTAAAAAAGCAAACGATCAGCTTTGCTTTCGTTTTCAATGAGCAGCCGAAATCCTTTATAAGAACTCTTAATCCCAGAATTCATAGCGTTGTTCAGTCTTCATGAATGAACAGAAAAGTATGAGAAAAGGTTGCCTGTGATTCTGTGTTATGTTTTTTTATTGTGTTCGGTTTCATATTGAAAACTGACCATCAGTCCCCCTCTTCTTCCTCAGACCACCATCCTGGCTGCCATTTTTGATGGAGGGGTTGTGATTGGGTCAGACTCCAGGGCTTCAATTGGAGGGTGAGGAAGCTACCTTTATTGTTATCTTTTAATGTAACAGAGGGACTGCTAAGTAACCCTTTTAATGAGGCAAACAGACAAAAGGATGACCATGACCTGACTGCAAATGAGTTTCAAGATTTCACTGATAACCACAGATTAAACATTTACTGAAATCTCAGAGTTTTGTGCCTTTGTCCACTGTAGTGACTTCAGGAACAAACTAAGAGTCACTGAGATGCTGTGTTTGGGGGTGCTGAGTCCTCTGAGGTGTTATTTAAAGAAATATCAGAAAAAATATGTTTAAAACACAACATATTAACTGCTCAAAAACAATCCAAAAAACTCACAATAACCACAAAAAATGTGTCACTCAGCGATCAATTTCCTAATAACAATCAAAATTACTGCTCCATGTGACTAATTATTAGGACGTTACCAAATAAACCAAAATCTAATCATACAAGAAACCATCACAAAAGAGAATGAAAATCAGCAGAAAATGATATTTTGTTATTTTAAACATTTATTAGGCTCAGACATTCATTTTCACTTCTCCAGGGAGTATGTTTCATCCAAGACCATCAACAAGGTGATTCAGGTTCACGACCGGATCTTTTGCTGCATAGCTGGTTCACTCGCAGACGCTCAGGCCGTCATCAAGGCTGCAAAGTTCCACCTGTCCTTCCACAGGTATGACTTTCAGGTGTCTGCACAGAAAAATCATGTACAACACACACAGACATATGTTTTAGTAATCATTCTTTATCATTGATTAAACTTTTTTTTTACTCCTCCAACACCCTTCTTCTCTCATACATACTGTACTTCAGCGGTCCCCAACCTTTTTTGCGCCACGGACCGGTTTGTGCCCGACAATATTTTCACGGACCGGCGTTTAAGGTGTTGTGGATAAATACAACAAAATAAAACTAGTACCGGTACCGAAAAAAAGAAGATTTATTCATAACATACGTGAAAAGACCCAGGAAAACCGAGTTAACGATAAAAAACGATAACATAATAACGCTGGAAACCGATAAAATCCCTGAAAACCATACATTTCACACCCGAGTCTCACTCTCGCGGCCCGGTACCAAATGACTCACGGACCGGTACCGGTCCATGGCCCGGGGATTGGGGACCGCTGCTGTACTTGATTCTTCACCTACACAAATTAAAAATAAATAAAGCTCTTTGTCCTCTGTGACCTGCAGTGTCCAGATGGAGAGCCCTCCTCAGGTGATCGCAGCAGCATCCGTGTTGAAGGATTTGTGCTACAAAAATAAAGACGAGCTGCAGGCCGGCTTCCTCACAGCAGGCTGGGACAAGAAGAACGGACCACAGGTAGCAGATCAGTGTGAAGTCATGAGCACTGATGATGACAACGAGTCCACTCTGCTGTGTGTAACTGCACCTTCTCCCTCCCTCTTCAGGTGTATGTGGTGTCTCTGGGCGGGATGTTGATCAGTCAGCAGGTTACCATCGGTGGGTCAGGCAGCACTTTCATCTACGGCTATGTTGATGCTAAATACAAACCTAACATGACAAAAGCCGAATGTCTCCAGTTTGCCACTAATGGTATAGTTTTCTTTTCATTTTGTCAATGCACTCTAAAAGTTTTAACCTGATTTATATGAAAATGTACAAAATGGCTTGAAATTTGTATTTTGCTATCAAAATTAAGAAGTATGCAACGTGATGATTTTCCAAGTTAGTTAAATATTTACTGTGGGACAAGAAAGTTCCACAGCCAGTCAGAGTCATTAGCAAAGCAAGAACATACAGAGAGCCATGCTAATGATGCAGACAACATTAAATTAAAATAAAAAAAACAAACAAACTTATTAATATACAGTAGTCTGCTTCTACAACTTTATCAGTGTGATTTATTAAAATGCAGATTAGCTTATATTGCATTTTCCACCATGGAAGTAAGATGTAACATCATTTAGCATATGTGAGCTGTCCAGTTTGTTCCAAGTCAGAACCACTGAACATTTCTATTTATCTGTATATTTACAACAGTGTGTAAGTTATAGAGATGTTTGTATTTTTTATCATCTTTCAAGCCCTAGCTAAAATATGAAAGCTAAGCTAAAAATAACGTAGCTTTATAAGATGAGCTCACCAGAAAGAAAGAAAAAAACACAACACTTATTGAATTTTATACTTATAAGAAAAACATTTTAGGACATTTCATTTATTAAATATTTAAAGCACAAACAAAAATATCAAATATCGTTATCTAACAAATCCGAAAATTCCCTCTTTTAATGAGGGATTGTGTTAGAGCTTACCATTGTGGTACCTTCACTATATTAAAAAAGTCACTGCCATATTCTCTTTGCATTATTAGGGATATTGGAATTACTGGTCTCAGCCGATCAGTCACTAATAAACCAAACAATTATTGATGACTTTTTCCCACCACAACCTACGAGACTATTATTTTGAATTTTAGACTGTTATTTTGAATTTGTGGAGAATTAATAGTGACTTTAAGAGTTAATTATGTTTATGTTGAACATCTTATCACTTTGGATCCTTGTTTACTTTGATTAAGCTGTTTTCATTTTGCTAGTTATTTAGTAAATATATTTGACTTATTTGTCTTTTTGTTGTTTGGTTAATTTTCATTAGTTCCTTGTTTGCTTTACTTTTTGGATTTATAGGAACGTAGCAAGACTAGGAGCAGGTATAAGGCCGGGGAGGGTCAGTGGCTGTTTTACCAGCACATTAGAGCAGATAAATTAAACTAGTCATATAATTGAACATCTTTAGCAGCATGAAAGGTCAAACATCAGTGAGATTATTAAGCTCTTGTCACAAGACATAATTACCTGAACTGAACCTGAAATGTGTGGATGTCATGTAAGGAATTTATTTATAAGAATACTTCTGTTAAGAGAGTTAAACGATTGTTGGTGATGAAAAAATTATTGTTCATAGCTGATTTATAAACTGTTTCTCTGCTTGTTTAACTGATTTTTTTCCTGCTTTCTTTTCTCCTCCTTTGCCTCTCTTTGCTTCATCCCTCCCTGCTCACAGCTCTTGCCCTGGCCATGGGCAGAGACAACGTCAGCGGGGGTGTCGCTCACCTGGTGGTGATAACAGAAAAGGGGGTGGAGCATGTGGTTGTACCTGGTGACAAGCTGCCCAGGTTCCATGATGAGTGACTTGCTTCCTTCCTCCTACGATCAAACCACCAATGAAATCGCAGAGTAGCTGTTTCAAAGCTGGACTTGTTCACCCTGTTTGGTTTGTTTAGAATTGGGATGTAACAAAGTCAGACACACAAAAAGCAAGCTAATATTGTGCCAAATATAAAACCTGTGAACCACAGAAACACTGCTGTAAAAAATGAGTCTTATTATGAAATCATGAGCAGGCTCGTTTATACAGAATTCATCTGTCTGTTCTGTTTTGTGACCAAATTACATGTTTTTGTGTTTTTATGTGGAAAAAAAAGGAAAATGTAAATTCAATTAAATAAATATTAAGATTTTCCAAAGCTTTTGTTTTCTCTTTTAGACAAATTAAAGGGAATCTAAAATAAAGTGTCTCAAGAGGGTGATGGGCCACCAGAGAAATTTCCCTGTTCTTTGGTTTAAATGACAAAATATTTAAACTCTGCTGGAGGAATGGAGGACACTTCTTCCAAATGAAGTGTCCCTATTTTGTAAAATATGATTCAGGTCATTTTCATTTTCTGTAAATCATTTGGTGACCCCTTATATATTAGAAATGTTTCATCACAGGACAAATGTGTTCAGCTATAGAGCAAATCCATGGCAGAAAACTGCCCTCAGTAGCATAGCAGAGCCACTGGACCCCCTCATTGTGGAAGCACTGAGTTCAGGTACCTGTATGTATGATTCATATATGATTCCCTAAGTAAAAAAATATGGTGACTCTTCACTTTTTTCCTACATCTCTGCAAACCAATGGCTATTGCTTTACATCACTGAACTGCAACCTTGTTATAAAATCCTTTCCATATGGAACATCAGTAGATCGTGATCTAATCAAGCACATTACATTATTTTTCCTTTATATTTCAGATATATTTGTTTCCAAACCTTTTTACTGATGTATTTCTCATAGATATAAAAACTGACATCACCTTGGTCACTGTAAACACCATCAACCTGTTACTAAGTATGAAGCCATCGGTGCCCTAATGAAATAAAAGTCACAAAGATAGGACTCTCTCTTTCTGTCAGAAATAGCTAGGCGTTTGCAATCATACACGCTACCGAACATGATGTCTACTTTGTGTGTTATATTTTCCTTTAATTTGTCACGTGTTTACATTTTGTGTTCTGTAAATATGTTATTGTTGCCAGGCTTTATTTTCTGTCCTCTGTAATTGAACACTTATAGATGTATATATTATGTACAGTGAAGCTCAGCTGGTTGAATTACAGGCTGTGACGCTGCAGAGTTGGAACAATTTAACTTTCAGTTTCGAACTTATTCAGGAAAACATGGCGTCCGTCTAAAACCTGACTGTAGAACCGATTTGGTCAATCAGACCCACTTTAAACAAAGACACAGTTTCGCCGAAGGTTTTAAAATCCTAAAAAGTAAAATTTAACCGGAGCTGCTCGGCAGAACATTTCGGTTTACGTTAGGAGTCACCTCCACTGTCAGTGTGTCGTTACCGGAGTCTCTGCAGTTCATTACCATGTTTGAAGAAACAGGACCAGAACGGCTCTCCGAGGAGGTGAAAACAGGAGTAAGTACCGAATTTTCCTTAATGTCTATAAGAAACTTGGTGAACTGTTACTGCGCTGCACTCTTTCTGACCTCGTGACACCAACGCGGAAATGACCGCTGCAGGTTTGTCGGAATGAATCCTGAACACAGCTGCTGTCACTGTGTGTCATTGTTTGCAGACAACCATTATTGCTATAGAGTTTGATGGTGGGGTCGTACTGGGGTCTGATTCTCGAGTGTCTGCTGGGTAAGTTTCCATTCCATCATAATAATAATGTGTTTAACGCAGACATAACACTAGCGTGTGTGCTTAAATGTGCAACATAGCTCAACTTGACGTAAAACATCTAAAATGTTCGCCATATGTGCTTCTAGTCCCTTAAACACAGTTGCATTCTCTCCCTTCATCCTTTGTGCAGGGCATCGGTGGTGAACAGGGTGATGAACAAACTGTCTCCCCTTCATGATAAGATCTACTGTGCTCTGTCAGGATCTGCAGCAGACGCTCAGACCATCGCTGAAATAGTCAACTATCAGCTGGATGTCCACAGGTAAACTCGTGAAAGAAGTACTAGGACACTGTGATCCTGTCATAAATTAGGATATAATTTATTATGTATAATAATGTACTATATTGTAAATTCTTCCTCTCACATGGAAGTTAGAATACTCCTCAAGCTTGGATGTTAAGGTGACACATTTCCCACTAGATATGTTTTATTACAATACAAAATAATTTATTTTTTCCAAAAGTTTCTAAATTACTGCATAAAATAGAATAGAATAGAATAGAATTCAACTTTATTGTCATTGCACATGCACAGGTACAGGGCAACGAAATGTAATATAAAAGAAGCTTAAACAAGTTGAACACTCCAATTAATCAAAATCTCACATGAAAAGAAGGAGCATAGATCTAAAATGAATGGGGTGGGGTACTTTGGCTGAGGGGGTTGAGCGGGCACCCACATGCCGCAGGGGCAAATGTGGCAGTCTGGGCTTAGTTCTGAGGCCCTTTGGTTCATGACTTCCATGCTCGCTTTTTACTTGCTTTCCTGTTTCCTGTTCACTAAAATTAATAAAGGAGAGAAAAAAAATGTTGTTGTTTTTTAAATGAATGCAGGTATTGTGGTGTGAGGTGGTAAAGATCAGAGCTGAACATGCAGTAGCATGTTCGGTAAGTGGTGTGATGGTGACCACAGGGTGTTCTGGAACCATTGATTAGCCACAGATGACATGCATCAGCTGATGAAGGAAAACAAACATTGGGCTGACTCAAATTTGATTCAAACAGAGTAAAAGAGTAATATGCAGCTCAATATTCAACACACAGTTTACTGTGAAGTTTTTCTACACAGTAAACTGAGATTTGACCATATTTCCGTCATAGCAAATGCAATCCCTCAACATTTTTTCTGATTGCTCAGTCCCAAAGACAGGTACGATCACACTGTGGTCCAGGAAGTGGGAGTATGTCAGAGTGCCTGTGCAGTGCTCCGTGAAACACATCAAACTCTCTCTGTGGCCTAATCAACTTTTATTATTCAAACACCTCACATTTAGCCTTATTTATAGATTTCCAGATGTGTTTTCCTGCTTTAGATGGCAAGGAGAGTTAACTTGAGTTTCTGATCCAGTTTCATGATGTATTTAACTTTATTTTGTCTTCTGTAAGTATTGAGATAGGTGAGGACCCTCAGGTTCGCTCAGCTGCCACTCTTGTGAGGAACATCTCATACAAATACAAAGAGGAGCTGTCAGCACATCTGATTGTGGCCGGCTGGGACAGAAGAGATGGAGGGCAGGTTGGTAAACACGTTTTTAGCTACAATGTAAAAGGAAGAATTCAATTCATTTTATTTATATAGCACCAAATCTCAACAACGGTTACCCCAAGGCAGTTTAAATTGTAAGGTAAACCCCACAATACAGAAAAACCCCAACAATCATATGACCTGCTATGACTTTGGCAACAGTGGGAAAGAAAAACTGTCTTTTAACAGGAAGAAACCTCCGGCAGAGCCAGGCTCAGGGAGGGGCGGGGCCATCTGCTGTGATTGGTTGGGGTGAGAGAAGGAAGACGGGACAAAGACATGCTGTGGAAGAGAGACAGAGATTAATAACAACCGTGATTCAATGCAGAGAGGTCTATTAACACATAGTGAGTGAGAAAGGTGACAGGAAAGGAAAAACTCAATGCATCATGGGAATCCCCGGCAGCCTACGTCTATTGCAGCATAACTAAGGGAGGATTCAGGGTCACCTGATGCAGTTCTAACTATGTGCTTTAACAAAAAGGAAAGTTATAAGGCTAATCTTAAAAGTAGAGATAGTGTCTGTCTCCTGGCTCCAAACTGGAAGCTGGTTCCACAGATGAGGGGCCTGAAAACTGAAGTCAGCGGATTAAAAGATCACAGATAAATTTTATGCTAATAATGTGAAAATAATGTGTCTGAACTCCCTCTGAGGTAATATATCAGCATATAAGCTGCTTTTTAATGCTTTTAATAAGACATCTTACCGAACCAACACACTTGACATTTGTTGTGTTCCTTTGCCCTTTGACTTTCAGGTGTTTGCAACCCTGAACGGCCTCCTGACACGTCAACCGTTTGCAGTCGGTGGCTCTGGCAGTTCGTATGTGTATGGGTTTGTTGATGCTGAGTATCGGAGAGGCATGAGAAAGGAGGAGTGCCAGCAGTTTGTCGTTAACAGTAAGATTTTTATTCCACTTTTTTTCTGGCTTTTGTTTAAAAAAATTTGATTTGACTACCTACAATATTTTCATTAAAAATATTTAAGTATTTTTTCACATGTTCTCTGCACCTGTCTTACTGATGCTCTTATTCTGTTCTGTAGCTCTCACTTTGGCAATGAACCGTGATGGGTCCAGCGGTGGCGTGGCCTATGTTGTCACCATTGATGGGCATGGCACAGAGGAGAAAGTTGTTCTAGGAAATCAATTGCCCACCTTCTTTGATCAGTGACATGTTTGATTTACTCACAGCAGCTGTGGCAAACCTGTCAACCAAGTCAGCTTGTAATATGTAAACACTGAACAACACTTTTTGCCAATAATTAAATAAAAGAAAAATAACTCCCATGTTTCTGTTTATTATCAAAAGTATATTGTTAATGTTGATATTGAACTATTGAATTTAAAATATAACAACAATTAAGCTTATAATATTTTATCTTTGATTTAATTACCATGTTAATTTTATTGGTATTATTTTTTTAACTACTTGACTTACTGGAGGAAATGCAGTTAACATGCTTTTCTTTGAAATAAAAACCCAGAAGTTTCTTAAGCCTGTTCGTAGACATACAATTTATACACACTAGGAGCAACAGCAGCTGTCTGAGGTATTTAGCCTGGGAGACCCTCCTCTTAAAACTGAAAGTCGGAGTTGTTTCACGGATCAAGAACAGTAGCTTATTCTTCCCAGTATTGAGAATACATGGAACATAATTAGATTCTGAAAATGACAAACATATGACAAGTCTGACGCAGTCCTGTGAAATTTAAATTTAAATATAAACTGTTGAAAGATTTACTGATAATCTTCCTTTCAGCAAATAATCATTTTAAAGGCTGTTTTTAAGGAATAATGTCTCACACACACTGAATGTACAGTTTTAGTTTTAAAGAGAGTGATGCCTGTTTGGACAGCAGTAGTGATTATGGTTACTTATTTAGCAGGCCTGCATCGTTTTGTCTTCTGTATTTTGGATTTGTGGGAAACCCCTCATCCTGTAAGAAAATGAAACTGAAAGCAAACTAACCCTAACACTCTGGTCCTGCGACACAGCAGGTCATTTGAGGACGAGTGTTGCCGAAAAATGGCAGCGATCACAGTAACAACAATGCGCAAAGTCGTTGCTTTTATTTTAGCAGTTTCTGTCGACCTCTTGTTGTTTTACGCGTCAGGATTTGCGGTGTTTCACAGCGTCTTTGGACACTTTACGCGTCTCTGGCTCTGTGCGGCTCTCCGCTGGTTGGCTCTTATCGGTGTCTCTCTGCTCACACTCGGGGTTCCCAAAGCGCTGCTGATTCGGTTTATAACGGTTCACAGTCTGCTCCCCGCGGTGTTTGAGACCGGGACCAACGCATTTTACAGAGAGGAGAGCGAGTGCGGCCAGCTGGGAGATGTGCGCTGCTGGCTCATGTTCAGCGGAGCTTCGCTCGCTGCTGCGCTGTTTTGGGAGATCACCATCCCGGACACCGACGAAGACCCAACCGGTAAAGAGAAGAAACAAAAGGCGAGAGTGCTTTTCATGAGAGTCGTCCGCCTGTACAGACACGATTATCCCCTGATGCTCGGAGGACTTGTGTTTCTGTCACTGGCTGTCATCTGTAAGTAGATTTAATATTTTAGGATTTGACAAAGGTGGTAGTGATGCTAAGATAACAGTAGCGCTGACATATATATACATGTACATGTTGAGCCCTTGGTACTTCCCCGGCATTTCGTGTTCCTTCTTTCTGGCTCAGAGAAGAGCTCGAGAAGATGTGGAGGGTGAAGGTAACAGTGGTCCCAGTGGTAATCCGAGCACTAGGTGCAATGACTCCCAAGCTAGGCGAGTGGCTCCAGCAGATCCCAGGAACAACATCGGAGATCTCTGTCCAGAAGAGCGCAGTCCTGGGAACAGCTAAGATACTGCGCAGGACCCTCAAGCTCCCAGGCCTCTGGTAGAGGACCCGAGCTTGAAGGACAGACCGCCCGCAGGGGAATTAATATTTCAATTTCGGAAAACAGCCTCAAAAGAGCTGGTATCTAATGGCTGGTTTGTAATCTAATTTTCAAAGTGGTGCTTTCGATTTGGGATTTTCTGGGACTGCTGAATGTCATTATAAATAATTTCCTCAGGGATTGATAAAATATTCTGATTCTGATTGATATATCACCTGGTGCATCTTTTCTCAGGTGAGATGTTCATCCCTTTCTACACTGGGAGAGTCATTGACATCCTTGGAAGTAATTACCACGAGAATGACTTCCTGTCTGCTCTCGTCTTCATGGGCCTTTACTCTCTGGGAAGGTATGAGGCAAGCAGTGTTTTTCCTCCACATTTATCCTCTGTTTGTTCCTCACAGGTAACATCTAACAGATTTTCTCTTTGATTGATTAGTTCTGTCAGTGCTGGCTGCAGAGGGGGTCTCTTACTGTGTGTGATCAACTCCTGCACATGCAGAATTAAAGTTATGCTGTTTGAAGCTTTGACCAAACAGGAAATTGGATTCTTTGAGACCATAAAGACAGGTAAGGCTGACATATGCACACAAAGGACAAAGCATGTCAGATAAAGCCTGAACAGTTGGTTACATAATAGACTGAAGATGGAACAAAGTAACTTTGTTTTTCTCTGTGCAGGTGAAATCACATCCAGGTTGTTTAAAGACACAACCTTAGTGGGAAAAACAGTGGGTTTGAATGTCAATGTGCTGCTGAGGACATTCCTTAAAACAATGGGAATGATCTACCTAATGATGAACCTTTCATGGAAGCTTACATTTCTTGTCCTGATGGAGACACCGATCACCGGCCTCTTACAGAACATCTATGACACACACTACCAGGTACAAGCAGGTTAACAGGAGACAATGAATTACAATTTGATCTGCAGAACGTCTTCAAACATTGTCAAAATTCTGTCTTGAATCAATATAATTCCCCAGAGACTTAAACGATTTCACACATCCCAGTTTGAGCTTTGATGTTTGCTTTGATCAGGTGTGTTGGAATTTTTCCTCAAGTCCAAAACCATGCCCTTGGTTTTTGATATGTTGAGCTGGAGATAAGAATTTTCACACCACCTGACAACGTGCTGATAGGTCTAAGGCTGGTTTGCACAAGGAAACCAGAAAAAGTCTGAAACATTGGTTCAGATGAAAGCATGTGTATGTCTTACAGACTAAAACAAAAAAGATTTCTCCTGTGTGTAATATTAAACTCTAAACATATCTCCTTCCACTATAATGATTGATTTGTTCATGTTGATAACACAGGACTCCTGTTCCCTGTGATCAAGAGCAAAATTATTAATAATACTTAACTATATTTCTATGTTTCCTTCTCCTTTCTACTTTCCTCAGAGATTGTCCTTGGCTATGCAGGGCTCACTGGCTTTGGCAAATGAAGCTGCAAATGAGGTAGTGTCTGGTATCCGTGTGGTACGAAGCTTTAACACAGAAAAACACGAAACCCGTCGCTATGACAACTGCTTGATGGACACACACAAGCTCAGCATTCGACGGTCCACTGTCGGGGCTGTTTACCTGCTTTCACAGAGAGTGAGAAGCTACTTTTTTTTGTGTGTTTCTCAGAGATCATTGTGTATTACAGTTTTAACACCATGTAATGTGTGTGTGTCTACAGCTGACAGGGCTGGTTATGCAGGTCTTTGTGTTATACTATGGCCGGCTTTTCATCCAGAGCGGACAGATAACCATGGGCAACCTGGTTTCCTTCATCCTCTATCAGTCAAATCTTGGAACCAGTATCAGGGTATCCCATAATGCTGTGTGCTCTATCATTTACTTTCATACAACCACGGCTCACATCTGGCATGCCAAAGTACTTTATTACTTTTGGCAGGACAATTCATACAACCCGTGGCACCATTTATGCATTTGCTGATAAATAAGAGGTACAATTTGTAGACTCTTAAGGTAAAAGGCATTGAATACAAACACATATTATTGTTGGAACATAAGACCTTACACCAGCCTCACAACATTTTTAGGTGATCCTCAGCAGAGATGGCAGAGAGATCAGATGACCTAAGATGTTTCAGTGGTTCAGAGCTTTTAAACTAGACTAAAATATATATAATATTACACTTTTTAAAACATCTGGTTATCTGAGAAAATTAATGCATTTAACATACTGCACCTATAGACACTGTAAATTAAAACATGTTTGTTAATCATGTCCTGTGACTCTAATCTTCCAGACACTCACCTATGTCTTTGGTGACATGCTGAACTCAGTGGGGGCTGCCGGGAAAGTGTTTGAGTATTTGGACCGAAAGGCTCTGGTCAGCACAGATGGAAAACTCCAACCTGATCAGCTGAGAGGAGACATCAGCTTCAGGAGTCTCAACTTTGCCTATCCTGCAAACCCCAACAAAACAGTGCTACAGGTGAGAGGGCAGGACAGATGGTTTGGTTAGTGGGGGTGTGATTGTCCTATCCATTTATTCTGTTACCATAACCACTGCTGTTCTTAAATTTATCACTCTTTTTAGGACTTTTCCTTGGAGCTGAAGCCTGGTCAGATAACAGCACTGGTGGGTCCGTCTGGAGAAGGAAAAAGTACCTGTGTGAGTCTGCTGGAGCGATTCTACGAGCCCCAGGAGGGAGAAATCCTGCTGGATGGAAAACTACTAAAATATTATGATCACTGTTTCCTCCACAAGAAGGTGATTCATCATCAAAGCTTTTTCCTGATCAATCAAGCTGTTCTTTGATTAGAGCGTCAGTCTCCTGTCTGTTTTTAAATTACCTCTTTGTTCAAATTTAACAAAAATAAATGGTTATGGTATTAAATGTGTAAATTCCTAATTCAATTCAAGTTTCAATTCAGTTTAATTAATATAGCACCAAATCACAACAACAGTCGCCTCAAGACACTTTATATTGTAAGGTAGAGACCACACAATGATAACAGAACAGCTCAACAATCAGATGAACCCCTATGAGCACGCACTTTAGTGACAGGGTGAAGGAAACACTCATTTTTGAGACTGGGTTGGGAGTGAGGGGAGGGAGACGAAAGAGATGAATTATATTAATAATCTATGTAAGAAGTCCACATGTGTCTATATGTATAATATGTTATGGTGTTATGTGTGTTCAATAGATTGCTTTGGTGAACCAGGAGCCTGTGCTTTTCTCTGGCACCATCAGACAAAACATTGAATACGGGCTTAAAGGCTGCTCTTTGGATGAAATCAAGGAAGCAGCAGTGAAAGCCAACGCCCACGACTTCATCATGCAGCTGGAGAAAGGCTACGATACAGGTGAACAGTTTTAACTTCCTCTCAGGCAGTTTTACATGGCTGCATACAGACCTGCATTTGTATGTCTGATAAAATTTT